TTTTTGTTTTTGTTTTGTGTATCGCGACGGAGAAAACAACGTTATGGATGGTGTTCCAATCATAACTCTTGTTCGATCTGTCGTTACAGGATAGCGCTGTAATCCGTTTGATGCTTGGATTGCTCCTGTAAAGTGGCACGTACAATAATTCTTGATAGCATAGCGTAGCCGGTTCCTTGATATGTTTGTTTTCGCATGTTGACACACTGCCTGGCTATCGTTTCATCGAGTGCTCCCCTCGCATGTTGTGCCCCCGAGAAACGTTGCAGTTTGCCTTTCTCTCTGTCTTCGTTCCCTTATTTTTAATTAGTGCCGTTTACATTGAATCCGAGCGACTTCGTCTCTTCGATGTAAGAGCAGGATTATATTCCTTTATAACGCGTTGAAAGTAAGTAGGTTACAATTAGATTGCAAATTTGAATTAGAATAGAACTCGGTTAACAAGAAAATATCTCTACTAAATTTCACTTGTAGCTTTCACGCATTTTCAACTTGTTACAATCGTTCTCTGTAAAGAAACTAAACCAAACTTAAATTTCGTCATTTCGCGCGTAAAAACTAGATATAATCAGCTACGAAAAGTCGTCATTAAACAGATGTCGAAACATAGTAATTAGCGCCGAAGTCGTATAACGTCCAGAGAATAACAAGAAATTATCCTTCTTCCACGGTTCGGTAAATTTGCAAACGAACGCGGAAAGAAAAGCGTCAGAGGACTGTACGCACCAATGATTCGAACGCGCTTGTCATTTCCGACGAACGGTGACTGTCAGTAACCAACGTGTCCCATAAATAACTATGCGTCAGCGCAAGAACGAGCCGCGGATACCGGTTTTCGTGAAACTCGAAATCCAACCGGCAAGTATTCGCTTAATGGTCGTGTAAATTGGTTTCCGGTGTTGTTCGCTGAAATTACGGTCTAGTTTATTCAAATATCGCGCATGATCGCCGCGAAAAAAAGTTCCAGTATATTCCCACGGCATTTCGAATCAACTGCAATAACGCGTTGCGTTTACACTGGTGTTCGTTTAATCCTCGATCGGACTTCTCCAGCCCGTAAGTTACGCCCGCCATTCGGCCGGCCGCTAAAACCTTTTGTTAAATTGTTCACCACGGTTTATACTTCTGTTTATCACCGAAGAATTCGTTCCACGACCGTTCCGTTTAATTCTATCGCCGACGTTCGATAAAATCCGACCGCGAACGAATAATTCTTTCCCGGTCGCCGCGCGGCCGCTGTCCGCCATTTTGTTTGCGTTTACGCCTGCGACTGTTTGGACTTCCGTCCGCACGTTACTGTTTGCGTTTTAGAGGCGCTGCGACGGTAGCTCGTAACTGTCGTTTCGTTGCCTTTCCTGAATGTTTATCTGTTTTATTTCTCGATATTCTCCGTTCGCTATGCAGTCGTAGAATTTTGTGTTTATGATCGATGAATCGCTGCGCACGGTCTTCGTAGTTGTTCGACGAATTAGTGTTGTGTGTTTTTTATCTGTTGCAACCCTTTATGTCCTGACATACTACACTTTTAATGTTCGTTCCTGGTTTCATTCGAGATATTTCACAAAGAAATATCATTTGAATCGAAAGTTGAATATAAGAGATTATTAAAATATTCAGTATCCTGTAATTCTATTATAAAGTCGTTGAAATATAAATCCATGCAGTGCATCAAATTAAATTAAAGAAGTAGAATTTCACAGTACTGGATTCACGGTTGCATTCAAATGAAAGCGCTAGCTTCGATGTGCCCTCAGGACGTAAAGGGACGCTGTAAAAATTCAAACGTTCGAGCCGTTCGAACTTGAATTGCAGCCTTAATCGTTAGACCGATCGGTTATCGGAACCTCCGTTCACATTTATTAAATCCACCCCTTCGACGTTCCGTTCTTCTAGGACGAACATATTCGCAACCGTAAAGCTGCGCAAAACGAAGACGAACGATCGCTCGGCGCCGGCGTTGTCATGAGATAAGCTCTTCATCTAGATTACTTTTCTCGTGTGATGTTAGACGGTACCGACAAAGAGGGCGGTCTCTCCGCGCGAGAGACAACAGTTCCTTTCATGCAAAAGGCTTCTGAAGCGTCGACACGCTTCGGGGATCTTCTTCACACGTCGTGGATGTCCGTCCAACGAACACGTCTCACTTCAATCCTCTATGACCGTTCATTTTTAAAGAGCATAGACAACGATTCGTCCGGTCGTCGGCCCGGCAACGATTTTCCGTCAGCTTATTCTGCTTCTCTTCGACCGTCGTACAGGCTGAGTAACACGAGTATCTCGTCGCACATCGAGAAACGTCGTGAAATCAAAATTCTCGAATGATCAAAACGGAAAGAGCGAATCAAACCGAATGTAGCGTAGAACGTAAAAATCTGCTACATTGGATTTTACGCGTTGTATAATTGTTATCTGGAGGATCTATTGGGTTGGCGAGAGAGTAACGTCGGTCCTTGATCCTGTTCAGACAAGATTATTTTTTATCGATAAGTAACAATAGCTCATTAGAAAGTTAGAGTCATAGGACACATATTGTAGAATCGATTAAATGAAATAATATCATAGTGAATTCGTGAAACCGACATTATTATATTGTCAACTTAATGTATTTGTAAGGAGTCATTGAATTCTTTGGTTGAGAGTACTGACAGAGGAACGGTGATTTTAAGATCCTCGGGCTGTATCGTCGAAGAGAATTCGATTTTCTCTGCCATTTGTCAATTGATCGGCGAACTCAACGCGGACTGATAAGTATGGAATCTTTAGGGACCATTTTGCGATCAACGATACGCTTTTATACGCGAAGTTTTACGAGACCTTCCCTTGCGGTTTTCGAGCATATTTTATCCGTCATAGAGGGTTGGAGGATCGCCCTTGAACCGAAGGGCCATAAAAGTGTCTGCGTCGTCCAGGTAAGACATTCGTCAACATTTCTTCCGCGTTTCATTGCAGCGTCTCCGCGAAGATAAGAAACAATTGAAAGAGACGTTTACTATCGTTTTACACCCCCAGAAAAGTGGCTAGAGAGACTTAGAGTACTTTCTTAACGTTCAGACTTCAACTCTTGAGATAGTCGTTCATTAAATTCTCGATAAACTATATATTCATCAGTTGTAAACATATTTTGGGTTCGACGTTCTGTAAGACATCCAAATTATGTTCCGTCGCTGTATTCATTATGTACACTGTAAGTTAAGTAATTATCTGATTAACCTACGAGTATGTAGAACCTAAATCACACATGAATTTGGTACTGCATTCCTTTCAATTGCTCCAACCATTCTTAATGAACTTTTCCAAAACGACAAAAACACTTTATCTCGTATAATATCCAAATTTATCGAAATATTCGGATGCAAACTGTACAATTCTGTTTCCTCCCACTTTTCAGTTTATTCTTCTCGTCGATTCTAAAGACATCCCCGAACGTTTTACTGTTCAACTCATTTTATCACCCACGAGTGCCAAATTCATCAACCTCATTCCACATCCAAAGATCTTTCACCGCAAACAATCACGATAAAAATTTCATTTGCAACATCGATGTTATCGTTCCCCGAATTGTCTCCCCTTGTTTACCGAAAATCCTCGAGGTATTTCGACGGTTTGCACGGCTGTTCGCGTTTCCGCAGCGCGACTCCTCTTCTCCCTGCGGCTGGATGGCCGTTCGCACGATCCGCACACAACTATCCGTTATTTTTATCGAGCTTTCGATAGACTCGCGCCTGTAACGGCGGTTTATTTCCGGGCAAGTTGATCCGCGACGCCGTTCCCTCTCGTCCCGACGACCCGGTGTCGCGACGTCACAGAATGAAACTTTCATTCGAGACGTCGTAAAGCTGCTTTACGTCCTTGCTCACGGGTTAAGGCTCGTAAAATTTCACTTCTCATTTTTTTCTCCTTCTCCCCTTGACCGCCCCCGCCGGCCAAGCTTTTTCCGGGGCGACTGTCGTCGACGGTTCTTCAGCTTGTTCGCCCGTGAAAATAAAGCTCGACGAGAGGACCGGTCGTTCCTCTTTCCTTCTCCCTTGGATCGTGCGTTCTAACCCCCGTGGGAACCCCCTTTACGCGTCCCCGACTTTTGTTAACTCCTCCGCGCCTTAGAAATCAGCGCGATGACGCGACGAGTCTGGATTCTTTGATCTAATATGCATCGTGGAGTGAAAATGTTTTATCCGTCGATGAAATTATCACTATTAAAGGAATACTTTGGATTCTCTTTTTGTAAATTGCGTTGATTTTCTGTTGAAATTGAAATTGTTACTATTGTGTTTCAAATTTTGGATAATTTTATGGAATAATTAAAGATATTTTCTAGATTTCGGAATTGAGTGATTATAATGCATAAGATTCGTATTT